CAGCGTGGTCTGCCCAAATCCCCCTCGCGCACAGTAATCCACCGGCCAGACCTCCTAATCGGAGACAAACTCACCCCGGTTCCGATCGAGCTCATCTTGCCCGCACCAACCGAGGGGTAGGGTCCCTACGCCCAGAGCCCTTCGCTACGCCGCAGCCAGCGCGAGCCAGTAACACGCCCTCCCATTGGTGTGCTTTCAACCAATAGGCTCTTCCGTTGGTGCTCACAGGGGATTGTGGGGGAAAAGGGGCTCGGGCGGCGCGCAGGCGCACAAGGCAAAATTGTGCGTCGGCCACCTTTGAGTCATATCCTTGGTTGTTCAAGAAGCTGTTCAATTCCTTTTCCTGATAATTACCTCTTATTATCTATCTCCGTCCTTTCCTTGAAGCAGAAAGGAGAGATGTTCCTGCCAGCCCCCACCAAAGAAAAAACAGTTTTAAAACTGCGGGGCATGGTGGCTGGGACATTAACATTTTTGAAGAAAGGAAGTTGTTTATTTTGTAGGATGTTCTATAACTTAGGTTTATCTCATCTTTCTGTTAGATTCAGGCGATATATTTCCAGGAAGGCTACATGGGAGAGGCATGATGTCAATTTGTTCCATGGCGATGTTTTCTCCAAGATTGGTTTTTTCCTTTGTGATTAATACGTAACTGGCGAGAAATTAAGACACTATGTAAACATTGTGTTACTCCTCGACCGTTCATAGCACCTGATGATTTTCAATTATTCTTCTAGTGATTGCCAAGTGACAGTTTCTAATCTATTATCTATTTTACATTGATGACTGGTTTTCTGCTACGAAATCATCAGAAGGTTTTTAAGTAGAAAAATTATGTTGATTTAATTATTAAATGTTTTCATTTCTGTGTGAACAATGATAGCGAACGGGAAGTACAGAAGCATCGAGACTACTTGAAAAGCTGTTGCAGTCTTGTGGGCGCCCAATAAATGAAAGTGATTTGTATTGGTAGAAGTGGAAATAGATACGTGTGGATGGCTTTCAGACTGTAGGCTTCCTGAAGAGCTGGATGCAGAAAGTCAGAGGAAATGCATTTGAATTGTTCTCCTGGCCAATGAAGCATTATAACTAATGACTAGGTTTTACTCTTGAAAAATGAATAAAAATTTGAATTTACTTGGAAGGCTAGTCACTTAACTTCCTCTCGTTAAACATTCTAGGCGCAATTCTTTCATGAGGGCTTCTAACTTAGACCAAGATAGGCCAAGAAAATGTTGAAGAAAAGGAAAAGGATATAGTCAACGTAAGGATCAAGTATTTTAACTTGTTTAGGTACTTCAACTTTTAAGTGATGTATATACCTGTGTGTAATAAACAGTATCTGAGTCTGGGACACTCTATCCATTATTAAGAATTTGAAGGCTCTGAGCTCATTGCCCACCTTGAGACTGGGTTGTGTCTGGGCTAACAGTGAATTATGGTCTCATGTTCTTGATTATTTGCTTGACTTTTACATGACTTAGATATAGATTTATTTATTTTAACCAATTACTCCAAATTACATTTGAAGACATATTATATAAAATTCGTCTGCAAATTCCACATCTCTTTTTTTGTGTTTTTTGAGACAGGGTCTTACTATATAGTTCAAGTTGGCCTTAAACTCTGTAAGGCCAGATAAGTCTCAAACTCGTGGCAATTATCCTGCCTCAGCTGCCTCAGCCTCCCAAGTGCTGGAATAATATGTGTGCACCACCACACCAGGCTACATATCTTTCTTATAGGGTGATGTACTTTTTGAGGCTATCAGAATCTCACCCTTCTATTAGGACATTGATGCTTTATACATTAGGTACTTAATAAATATGATTTTAATAAATCATAAAACGATTAAATTGTAGTGGCAAACGTACAGTCCACAGTGTGGCAGCTCTTAGTGGTATAGCAAGATCAGGCCAAGAAGAAGCAAGAACACAGCCGGAGGGTGGAGGCAAGTGTATTACGCCGGCAGACTGATCCGGGATTTCTCCACCAATCCATCAGCTTGGAGCTGGCCATGATCAGGGCTGGTTAAGGGAAGCGGGTTGGGGGTACAGAATCAAGGCATTTATCATCGGTTCACTGGTTGAAGAAGTTACATTTAGCTTACATAATTGGATAGAAAAGTACACCAGACACATCCTGAGAACAAGGAACAATGAAGGAGGAAGTGTGTCAGGTATGGGAGGGGGTATGAGCTGGGGTTGGCTCTTTGTCAGGTCCGATAAGCGCAGGAAAAGCCTTTTTGGCTCAGAAATAATTTTCCGTCTCAAAATAGCATGTTCAATAATGCTGTCATGTTAACATACATTGTTATATCTACCAATTAAGATAAATAATTTTAATATGTGAAAGTTATTTTTTCCAGTTTCATTGTACTGATTTGTAAAATAATCACGAATAAATAAGTTACAAATGCAAGAGAAAATTGTTACTAATCATAATATCTTAAAATTGTTACTTATGTACTAGAGCTCTAATCGGAGGAACCTAAACATTTAATGACAAGTCAGGTTTTTTAAAGGAGTACCTCAGGAGATTCAGTGTCCTGTTTACTTCTAAACACCATTTTAAGGATAGTGAAGACTCGGCGGGGAGGGGGGATAGCATTCTAGGAACTCGTTATTCCCGGCTTTACAGTAGGTCCTGCACTTGCAAGTCTGCGCAGCGAATAATCTGCCCCTAGCCCCATCTCAGAAATTTGCAGAATTCCTTATCTAGAAAAGTGCACCAGCATCTCAGAAAAATACATTTTCGTGCTGATCAAAATCGGGTTCTCTTTCTGCTCGGAACGAAACACTTTCCCCCTGGAAGTTCAGCGTGGTGTGAGCCGGCTCCGCCCGCGTCCGCTCAGTCGCAGCCTCCCGAGAAGGACCCGGTTCTGGGGACACTAAACCCTCGTCCCGACCGGACCCTCCCGACTGGCCCGGCGGGGTAGGAGGCCACACGCTGTGGGCCTGGAGCCGCCCGGGGCCTGCGGACGCGCCGACTTTCGAGCTCCTAGAGACTGTAAATGCTCCGAAGTGTAACACAATTAATAATAAACATGCGAGGTGTCCTCAATAACATCTGGAAAGTCGATCCAATAGTATGCTATAAAGACTTTCTTGAAGCCTGTAGGGAAGCAAACCGACTGGTGGTGTTGAGTCTTCAAAAGGCTGTGCTGAGAGAGAGCTCCCCAACTGCCCGGCTAGCTCAGTCGGTAGAGCATGGGACTCTTAATCCCAGGGTCGTGGGTTCGAGCCCCACGTTGGGCGTGCATCGTACTTTTCTCGCTAGACAGTCGATGCTCTCCAAACTGTTTTTAAAAAAATCTACAATTGAGAAATGTCCTCAACCCACGTTAATGTCAGCACCCTCAGTAATAACCAGAGTTCTGGAGGAAAGTTCGCGCCGCAGCCACAGGCGCCGCCGGTTGCGCGTGCGCACTGGAGAGCGCCTGCACCCCGGCC